AGATGTGTATAAGAGACAACCATTATGGGTATGGGTAGTACCATTATGGCTGTCTCTTATACACATCTAGATGTGTATAAGAGACAGGGCTAGGGGGGGATGGGGGTGATAGGGAGGCTAGAGAGGCCAGGGAGGCTAGGCAGTCTAGGGAGGTTCGGGGCTAAGAATTACCCACACAAACAAAAGTTGACCAATGCAATTTTGGTTGAGAAGTGCAGGAAAGTCTAAAGCTAACAAGAATATCAACTTAAAACGCAAGTTACTAAGGAATTTAAAAGCAAAGAGAACGCCAAGTAAATTCAAAATATCGATATTGAAAACGTTTCGAAGTCCAGCTCCATCGTCTGTTTGGACGATGGAGGTCTCACTATAGAATTAGAAACCAACAATAGCTTCTCGATTGTAAAGTAAGTTAATCTGGCGGTCGTTTTCAGACATCAGTTTATCGAGAACCCACATTTACCGACTTGGGTATGAACTTCTTTAGGTTCTGATAGTTTCGTTTCAAATTGAATGGTCTTCAAACTTTGATACACCGCAGTTATAGAATTTGTTCCATCTTCCATGATATGCATTTTGAATTTGAATTCATTCGTAATATATTTCAGCTGAATGTGTTTCCATCGTGCCATGTGTTTAGTAAAATCAAACGTTTTTTACCTAACAAATTTTCTGAAACTGTGGTTGGAGGCGATAGCAAGGACACTATTTATTGCCCTATTTTAAAAACTCTGCCCTATTTTGGTAGCCCGTCTGAATCTATGTCCAGAGAGCTTTGGATTTTGGTAATGAAATATTTCCCGAATGTTAATTTGCACGTGTTGCTGGTAAATAAGGTTAAAATTGGTTCTTTCTTCAAGCATAAGGACGTTATTCCTGCCCGGATGTGATCGAACCTGGTCTATGAGTACAGTTGCGCGCTGCGCATCTGCGTACGTTAGAATGACGTCACGAAGCTTCTACATCCGGGTTTCTGAACACAGCGGCAGGAGCAATCGTTCGAATTTACTTCTCGCCAAGCCTCCTCATTCTTCCTTGCGCCTCCATGCTGAACAGTCAACAGTGCGATGTGGCTGTATCGCATAGGATTTCAGGATACTCGGTTCCATCTCTGGCTGCTCGCACTTGAGGATTTCGGAGTCTCTACATATCTTCCAACAAAAACCGTGTCTCAATAATGCACACAGTTCTTACCCTCTTGAAATAAAAAATCGCTAGGCTTTAATTTTCTAGTGTTTACTTTCTATTGCTTCGCGAGTGTTTGTTTTCGATTTTAGGGTTGATTAGTCTCTAATCTGTAAATTTTAGGTTTTAATGTCCGACTTTGGAGTTTGAATTAGGATGATTGTTTTAATTTTTCTAGATTTTCGAACTGACGATGGAGCTGGAGTCCGCAACGTTTTCAATATCGATATGGTGAATTTATTTGACGTTCTTTTTGCTTTTAAATTCCTTGAAAATCAACTTATTTCGTACGGTTTACCGCGAACAATGTGCCAATATACTACAATATAGATTATCCATGAATTTTTTATATTATTTAAATGAGGTGACCCAGATTTGTACTTGACCCACCTTCCAGGGTGACCCAGATATGTGCACGTTGTTGTACTTGACGTGCACATAATAGAAGCCATTAACAAGGGGCGTGTAGCGGACTTTGTAGCCGTTGTCCACCTCCGTGCAGTCCATCGCCACCTTAGACGGTCCATCGATGGTCACGGCCAGCGTACCCGCCCCCGCTGAGCACGTGTCCACCACGAAGTCCGCCTTCACACCTGCAGTGGTACATTGGAGTACAGTGGAGTACATTGTTGTACATTGGAGTACATCGAAGTACCTACATTGGAGTACATCGATAAGAAGTTAGATTTAGGGGTATACGTACCAGGGGTAGTAGGGGTATACGCCATCCGACGTCCGGGCCGCTTCGTGGTGGATGGACCCCTCCGGTGCGACCCGTCGCTCCCGGGGGGCCAAACACGGACACAACTCCCGGACCCCGGGCAATTAACAACAACAAGTAGGGGTATACGTACCAGTCTCGACAGCGATGAGGCCTTTGCCGCTGCTGGAGCACGCGGCGGGGTCAGCCTCCTCTTCTCCCACCCTGTAGGGTAAGCAAGGTCCGTTAGGGTAAGTGGGGGTACTTAAGATACGTCGTGGTGCGTTAAGATACGTCGTGTTACGTTAATAGGGATGTGGTGCGTTAAGATACGTCGTGGTCCGTTAAGATTTGTCATGGTACATTAAGATGGTGCAATATCTTGAAATCGCTGCCAGACACAGTTACGTCGCACTGTTCAGCAAGAGGGTAGAGCCGAGTGAGAAGGTTTAGAAAGTGGCAGGTTCGAACGAAAGTGCCAGCCGCGGTGTTCAGACAGCCAGATGCAGAAGTTACGTGACGACATTCCGGCGTACGCTGATGCGCAAACCGCTGTATACATAAACAAGGTTATATCGCATATTTGTGCCTTGTGTTCAATAAAATAAAGCGTTATGTGATGACTGTTAGATATTATGATTCAGTTGCTGATGACGATAGTAAGAAAACCATTCATTTTACTTACCCCTATTTAGTTTGCTCATCTGAAACAATGTCCAAAGAACTGAAAATTGTATTTCTGAAATATTTTTTCGAATGCTAACTTGCGTGTTTGTCTATTGAATAACTTCAAAATTTTTTTTTTTTTCAGGTACATAGATGTTATTCTTGCCCGATGCGATGTAACCTTGTTTACGAATATAGTTGTGTGTGTTGCGCATCTGCCTGCATCGGAATGACGTGACTTCTATATCAGAACATCGCGGCAAGAGTTTTGGTTCGAACCTACCACTTTCTCTGCCTCCTGACTCAGCTGTGCACCTTCAAGCTTAACAGATACTCGGAGCCACTTTGGGCAATCAGGATTTGTGGATTTTGGAATCGATACGTGCGATGAATTGACGCACTTACGGCACGTGAGTCAACTAAAGAACCATGACACCCTTACCTCAAACATCTGTACTTCGACGACCATTACCTACCCATTACCAGTGCCACATTGGTAATGGGTAGTACCATTATGGGTATGGGTAGTACCATTATGGGTATGGGTGATACCCACACCCATTACCAGTGCCTACCTGTTGAATCTTGAATTGCTATGCAGGATCTACCCGACCTCAGTTCGCAATTCCGGTGTTCACAACGAGTTAAACTCTTCTGCTTTGATCTGACTCCAAAAGATCTTGTTATAATAATTAGTCAGTCGTCGAGGATACAAAACTGATTTACACTAATTATTTTCTTTATTTCACTTAAAACTTCAAGCCTCCCAAAAGTTGACCATCGAGTTTATTAATGTCTTGTCTTGCAACGTTAAAATTTTGCCATGGTGAAAATCGATTTCGATTGGAAATAAGAGCCACGGCAGGTATACTGTCTACGAAACGCGCTGCACTCGAAAAAACTAGAGCTTACAAATAAATATTGGGCTATCAAAATATTAAACATAAATTAGACACTACAAACTCTAACAACATCGAAATCAAATCTCACACTACCCATTACCAGTGCCACATTGGTAATGGTAGTACCATTATGGGTATGGGTAGTACCCACACCCATTACCTACCCATTACCAGTGCCATTACCTGAGTTATGGGTATGGGTAGTACCCACACCCATTACCAGTGCCTACCCATTACCAGTGCCCATTACCATTACCCACATTACCTGAGGCGGAATGGGCTGCCGGGGATCTGGATGCCCCGGCACTTGACGTGGAAGTAATGGACGCCATTGACGCGCGGGACGAAGCGGACAGTACGTTAAGATACGTCGTGGTACGTTAAGATACGTCGTGGTACGTTAAGATACGTCGCGGTACGTTAAGATACGTCGTGGTGCGTTAATATACGTCGTGGTACGTTAATATACGTCGCGGTACGTTAAGATACGTCGCGGTACGTTAAGATATGTCATGGTACGTTAAGATACGTCGTGGTACGTTAAGATACGTCGCGGTACGTAAAGATACGTCGTGGTACGTTAAGATACGTCGTGGTACGTTAATATACGTCGCGGTACGTTAATATACGTCGTGGTACGTTAAGATACGTCGCGGTACGTTAAGAGTGGTGCGTTAATATACGTCGCGGTACGTTAAGATATGTCATGGTACGTCAAGATATACGTCGCGGTACGTTAAGATATGTCATGGTACGTTAAGATATACGTCGTTGTACGTTAAGATACGTCATGGTACGTTAAGATATACGTCGTTGTACGTTAAGATCGTCGTGGTGCGTTAAGATACGTCATGGTGCGTTAATATACGTCGCGGTACGTTAAGATACGTCGTGGTACGTTAAGATACGTCGTGGTACGTTAAGATACGTCATGGTACGTTAAGATACGTCGTGGTACGTTAAGATATGTCGTGGTACGTTAAGATACGTCGTGGTACGTTAAGATACGTCGTGGTACGTTAAGATACGTCGTGGTGCGTTAAGATACGTCG